ATCTACCTAGACAGAAAAGTGGTTGTCAATATTATAAAATATTCCCTTGTTGAAATAGAACTCTGCTTTCTATGACAAGAATAGAGAAAATGGCAAACAAGGAGAATGTCCATATTTTGTTATTAAAAATATTGGTTAACTGGTTTAAGAGGAGGTAATACAACTGCCATGATCTACTCACCTCCTAAATCTTAATATTTTGAATTGCAGTTATCCCTCCAGAAATTCTCGGTTCTTGGGAATTCTGTTGAAAATTTCAAATTTCTAAGTAATTGTTTTTATAGAACACACCTTTCTGTTTTCACTAATGACTATATATGTGTGTATAGCATTTTGCTTTTCCACAGTTTACTCTGTTTTAGGAGGAAAAAAGAGAGACTTGATGACCATTATTTGCTTATGCCTTCCAACCTGGAATTAGCTTCTTTTTTCTATTTACCAAAATATGACTTGTTCTTAAGATTCCAGTTCAAATCATACCAGATAATTTCTACCCGTGAAGAATGCTAATAACATTTTTTATATTGCTTTACTTTGAAGATATTCTTAATTGTAAATTGTAGTATAAATTGATAATAGCTTTTTGAGCTATTAAAGGGAAAAGCTTTTTAAGCTATTTATGGGAAAATGTGCCACAACGTAAGTTTATATCAATTATAAGATAAATTTTGATTTCATAGTTGTTAAAAGCGAAAAAAAAAAAGTGTCCTAGCATCAAGGTAACATGGTATTGCTTAATTCATTAATTTAGAAATTAAGCACTTTAAAAAATCCTTTATCAATCAGTTTAACTGAATTGGCTTAGCTAATTTGTATGTAGCTTTTGCCTTAATAGGAATTCTTTGAGAGGAAAAACCATTCTCACATATGTTTTTCTATTCTTAGCAGTCATGATATATAAAACCTTAATAAAATTACATGTACTGGCTCAGGAGGCTTAGGCAGAAGAATTGCAAGTTCAAAGGCAGCCTCAGAAACTTAGTAAGGCCCTAAAGACCCTGTGTCAATAAAAAATAACGATAAAAAGGCTGGGGATGTGGTTCAGTGGTTAAATACTCCTGGGTTCAATCCGTGGTATCAAGAAAAAAAAGTACAGATACTTCTTCTCAAAAAGGTGCTCAAAAAGGCTTTTGAATGGAAATCAGCTGAATTCTCTGTCTCCTTATCCTAGTACCCAGTAGAGCTGGATAAAAGGGCAGCCTATACTTATCAATAATAAAAGCATCAGGCAACTGGGGAATGGCTTAAAACAGTTAAAGATCTCAAGAATTTACAACATTCCATCAAAAGTAAGCAAAGATTTAATGGTCAGAACCAGAACATACAATGTCTGAAAAGGCACACCCCTATTTTAGCTATCTCTTGAATCCTAGCTCTAGATTTTGAATGACCAAAAATTATTCCTTTTGGTGATAGCATTCACTTCTCTTCCTTCTGCCCATGATGGTATTTAGTTCTCAGTTCAATTAGCACCCCTCCCTAATCCCTGCTTCCTTGATTTGAAGTTTTCAGTCAATATGCTTCTAGATTCTGCTTTAACAAATTCTGCCTTCAGAAATCACAATATTATAAGAGTTGGGAATAATGCCATAAAAAAGTAAAGTGTATAAACTGTACCCATTGTGTGGTCCAGAGCCCTATTCAATTCTCCCCTTGGTGGGGCATGATTAAGTTCCTGGGATCACTGGGTTCAACCTGGGAGAAGCATAGGAAAGCGGGTATCTGACTTTGTAGGAATTAGGGTTGGATCCCAGTCTTCTAGTGGCCATATATTTGGTAGTTGAAGGGGAGCCAGGTATGCATTCAGGAGAATAGACTGGTGTGGATAGTAGAAAAAATTAGTCTCATAATACTAAAGTGCTGGTGAAGATATAGAAGACTATGAACTCTCTCATATTGTTGGTGTGATTATAGATTTGTACAAGGACTTTGAAAATAGTTTGGCATTACTAGTACAGTAGAAGTTCAGCATTGCTTACAATCTAGTAATTTTACTTTTGGGTAGAGAATCTTTAAGGCCTTACTTCTCCAAGTATGGTCATTAGACAAATTACAACATCACCTAGAAATTTGTTAGAAATGCATAATCTCAGGCCCCGCTCCAAACCTACAGAATTGGAACCTGAATATTAACAAGATCCTGGGTGATTTGTATGCAAATTAAAGTTTTAGAAGTATCTATAAGAACTCTCACACATGTGCACAAAGAGACCTGATCAAAAATATTTGTAGCATCATTGCAACAGGAAAAGAAAACAGAAACAACCCAAATATCAGTTAATAGGAGGATTTATAATTCTGGTATTTTGTTAGCAGTGATAGCAGTACTAAATAATAAACTAGAATCACTTGGATAAGTCTCAGAAATATATTGGGGAGGAAGAGCAAATTGCAGGATGATTCATATAATTTGTATAATGCTTAAAATGTTAGATATACTGTTTTACACATATACAAAATATAAAAATGTTCATGGGAATAAAAACACCAAATTCAGGATAGTAGTTTTTTCTAGGGAGACAAATGAGATTGTGGAGGGTCACTTATTTGGCTTGAAGTATCTGTATAAGGCTCTAATTTTTCAAAAAAGAGCATAAGCAAATAGGGTATCATGATATAATTTGAAAAATTGGAGAAGTAGGTACATGGGTTTTCATTTTTAATATTTTTTAATACAAGAAAGTGACCATCCAGAGAAAAATGAATCTAAAACTATCGTGACCACATTAGCACATGTACCTGAAACATTCTAATACCTTTTTTCAGTTTATTTCCTTCAGTTAATTAATTAATTTTTTATTTATATATGATTTACAGTTGGTGACCATCCTCCCCTCTTCAGTATCACTACCAATTTCATGGATCTCTATTCTCTAAAGTCCATATATCATTCATAGCTATCAACTGAACTTTTTAATAGGGTTACTACACCTAACTCTCACCAAAGGTCTGACAGTGAAGGTCCCAGATTCCATAACCAGTCCACATCAGGGAGCTAGTTAGAAAAATAAATGGTGAAGTAAGAAATGAATTTATTTATGATTTTGCTAATACTGGCAGAGCATTAGGGTTTTATATGTGGGAGAACAAAGCTAAATATAGGCATATGTGTATCTGGTCAGGCCAGTCAGGCGTTGGGCCTGCAAGTTGAGAAGTATGTTGTTATTCTGGTTTTGCTAGTTTTTTCAGTATTAAGACCAGGGGGTGGTAAGGCAGTTTTTGCTTTTACCATGAGATGGACCAAGCAAGGAAAAGCAACTTCTATATAAGTAGAGGCCCCTTGGTCAAAGTTATGAGCTCCATCTGGTGGAAAGATTTTTGCTTTTAGACAATCATGGGTAAGAACCCCTTTTTCTGTAACCTCTTGGCTCTGCTTGCTTTTGGCAGGGTTAACATAACTGACTCCATTTTCTTCTTCATTTGTTTTTGCCCTGCTGGGAATTGAACCAGGACCTTGACACATGCCAGGCTCTACCACTAAGCCATATCCCCAGCCCACAGCTTACTACATTTTGATTTTGACAGTTATCCCACCTTTTTCCTGAATGATTGTTTTACCTTCTTTGAAGGCATTGCTGGTTAATCACCCTGTGGTTTGCTTTTGATTGTGTCTCATTGCCAGAATGGACCTGTCTGGGAAATTGGTTCCATGTCAGAGGGGAAGTAGTAACATAATTAAGAATTAGTGTTTAAAGCATTTTGTCCAGATTTGAGCAAAAAGAGGTTTAGAGAGAGTGGTTTGGGGGCTCAGTTTATGTGAAGTTCATTGCTAAGTTTAATCTTGTCTGTTTCATAAGCAATAGCTAGCATCTTAAAACATTGGGTTTTATGCAGAATTTTGCCAGACAACAGTTACAAAATTTAAAAGGAAAATACAAAACAAATTAATAAGGGCAAATCAAATCTAGTTTATATAGCAGATTTGAACTGAAAAACAATCTATTTTATTTCTATCAATTTCACCATGATAAACAAGAAAACCAGTTTACTTTTAAAACAACTTTAGTTTTGTCAAAAAGGTTCATTTAGGAGTACTTAGGAGTACTTTTTAGAATCATTTTTATGCAGACTAAGATGAACTACCATTTAGGCAAAAAGCACATTACTTTACACTTAAAATATAATCATTCCTGTTAAATTGTAAAAGTAAATAATACAATATGTTAGAAATCATCTCATGAGTTCCAAGCGAAATTTTCTTTGCTTCTAGAATTTAATCCTCTGGGATTCTAATCATACAGAATTTCAGGAATTACATTTTATTTACAATAAATGCTAGTGAGAATGTAGGTAAAAAGGAACTTTTATATACTGTTGATGGGAATGTAAATTGATACTGCCTCTATGGAAATCAGTATGGACGTTCCTCAAAAAGCTAAAAATAGAACTACAATATGATCCAGCTATACCTCTCCTTGATTTTTGTCCAAAGAATTAAAGTCAGCATACTTTAAATATACATGCATATCAGTGTTTATTGAAGCAAAATTTACAATAGTCAAGTATGGAATCAGTCTAGGTATCCATCAACAGACGACTAGAAAAGGTTGTGTATATATACACAGTGAATTATCATTCAACCGTAAAGAAGAACAGTTATATAATTTGCAAGAAAATGGATGGAACTGGGGATCATAATGTTGAGGAAAATAAGTCACACTCAGAAAAGTGTCATGTTTTCTCTCATATGTGGAAGCTAGAGAGAAATAGGAAAACAAAGGGGTGCCATGAAAGTAGAAGGGAGGCCAGCAGGGTAGAGAAAGATGATCAGGGGGAGCATGTGGGAAGTACTGGGGTATGAAATTGATCATATTATATTTTTTAAAGCTTCATTTTTAAAAAATGTTTTAGTTGAAGATGGACACAATACCTTTAATTTATTTATTTATATTTATGTGGTGCTGAAGATCAAACCCAGTGCCTCACATGTGCTGGTAAGTGCTCTTCCTTTGAGCTACAACCCCAGCCCCTCAAAGTATGCTTTTAGAGGGCGCCGGCCGGCGGTGCGGCGCAGCGCAGCGCTGCCAAGATGGCGGCCTCCGGTTTGTGGCGTGCGGCCTTGTGGCTGCTCTGCCTCTCTGATCTGCTACTGTTGCTGCTGCTTCCTCCTCCGGGATCCTGCGCTGCCGAGAGCCGGGCCGGTATGCCCGGCGATGCTGCTCCTCCTCCGCGGAAGAAGAAGGACATTCGAGATTACAACGATGCGGACATGGCGCGTCTTCTGGAGCAGTGGGAGATAAAGCCTTTTGAACTGCCAAAGTGAGAACATCATCTCATGAGAAATCCTGCTCTGGAAGTATGCAGATTCTGAGCTAGATGTGGAGGTGCTGCAGAGATGAGCAAAGAACCCATCAGGAACAGTAGATAACAAATATAACCACAATAAAGATGATGACATAGAAGAAGGAGATCTCCCAGAGCACAAGCGACCCTCAGCACCTGTCGACTTCTCACAGATAGACCCTGGCAAGCCAGAAAGTATATTAAAGATGACGAAAAAAGGGAAGACTCTGATAATGTTTGTCACTGTATCAGGGAGCCCCACTGAAAAGGAGACAGAGGAGATCACCAGCCTGTGGCAGGGCAGTCTGTTCAATGCCAACTACGATGTCCAGAGGTTCATCGTGGGATCAGACCGTGCTATCTTCATGCTTCGTGATGGGAGCTATGCCTGGGAGATCAAGGACTTTTTGGTCAGTCAAGACAGATGTGCTGATGTCACTGTGGAGGGACAGGTATACCCTGGCAAAGGAGGAGGAAGCAAAGAGAAAAATAAGACAAAACAAGAAAAGGGTAAAAAGAAAAAGGAAGGAGATCCCAAACCTCGGGCTTCCAAGGAAGGCAATCGAGCTGGAAACAAACGAGAAGACCTTTAATGGAGCACTTGCACTCCAAGGAGGAGCTGATAAAACACGGCGACCTTGCCATGTCATGGGCAGGACTGGGTGCAGGGAACTGCATATTGAATGACATCCTTATTTCTTCTAAAAAGGGTCTGCCACTTGATCAGTGTGTGGTCAGTATAAGAATTACTATTCTAAAAGTAGAGGGAACTGTGACCACGCACAGAGCAGGCCCAGCGGCCTGCTGAGGGGCAGAGCCGCCCCCCACCCCCCACGCCTGCCAGGTAGGGGAACTGTGACCATGGACAGAAAAGGCCCAGTGGCCCGCGGCGGGACAGAGCTTCCAATAACTCCTGCAAGGTAGGCGGGCCTGCGACCCACCGGCAGAAGAGGAGCAGCGACCTGCTGAGAGGCAGAGCCGCCCCCTCCCCCTGCACCGGCAAGGTAGAGGGAACTGTGACCACGCACAGAGCAGGCCCAGCGGCCTGCTGAGGGGCAGAGCCACCCCCCACCCCCCGCGCCTGCCAGGTGACCACCAACAGAAAAGGCCCAGTGGCCCGCGGTGGGACAGAGCTTCCAATCACTCCTGCAAGGTAGGCGGGCCTGCGACCCACCGGCAGAAGAGGAGCAGCGGCCTGCTGAGAGGCTGAGCCGCCCCCTCCCCCTGCGCCGGCAAAGTAGAGGGAACTGTGACCATGCACAGAGCAGGCCCAGCGGCCTGCTGAGGGGCAGAGCTGCCCCCCCACCCCCCGCGCCTGCCAGGTAGGTGGAAGGGTGACCACCGACAGAAAAGGCCCAGTGGCCCGCGGCGGGACAGAGCTTCCAATCACTCCTGCAAGGTAGGCGGGCCTGCGACCCACCGGCAGAAGAGGAGCAGCGGCCTGCTGAGAGGCAGAGCCGCCCCCTCCCCCTGCACCGGCAAGGTAGAGGGAACTGTGACCACACACAGAGCAGGCGCAGCGGCCTGCTGAGGGGCAGAGCCGCCCCCCACCCCCCGCGCCTCCCAGGTAGGTGGAACGCTGACCACCGACAGAAAAGGCCCAGTGGCTCGCGGCGGGACAGAGCTTCCAATCACTCCTGCAAGGTAGTCAGGCCTGCGACCCACCAGCAGAAGAGGAGCAGTGGCTTGCTGAGAGGCAGAGCCGCCCCCTCCCCCCTGCGCCTGCAAGGTAGACGGAACTGTGACCACCATCAGAACAGGCCAGACCTGCAACCGAGAGACAGAACAGGCCCAGTGGCCTGAGGAAGGGTAGATCCGCCCCCCGCCCCCGCGCCTGCAAGGTAGGCGGACCTGCGACCCACTGGCAGTACAGCCCCAGAGGCCTGCAGAGGGGCAGTGCCGCTGCCTGCGCCTGCAAAGTAGACAGAACTGTGACCAATGACAGAACAAGCCTAGCGGCCCGCAGAGGGACAGAGCCGCCGCCCGTGCCTGCGAGGGAGACTTTGCAACTATACAAGACCAATATAAATTTATAGGGGGAAAATTCAATAGCACAACAGTTTCACCAAGTAGAAAGGAACGCGAACAGTATGAAGAGACAAGGAAAGAAAGGACCACAAGCATTGCAGGTCAACTCAACGTTAGAAGAGGTAATAGCTGCAGCAGATGGAATGTCAGATAAAGAATTCAGGATATATATGCTTCAGATGATCTGGAGTCTCAAGGAAGACATCAGACAGCAAAATCAGACAATGAAAGATCACTTCAACAATGAATTACATAAACAAATCCAAGAAGCAAAAGATCAACTATACAGGGAAATAGAGGTTATAAAAAACAAACAAACAGAAATCCTAGAAATGCAGGAAGCAATAAGCCAACTTAAAAACTCAATTGAGAATACTACCAGCAGAGTAGAACACTTAGAAGACAGAACATCAGACAATGGAGATAAAGTATTTCAACTTGAAAAGAACATAGACAGCTCAGCAAGACTGTTAAGAAACCATGAGCAGAACATCCAAGAAATATGGGATAACATCAAGAGACCAAATTTAAGAGTCATTGGGATACAGGAAGGGACAGAGTTTCAAACCAAAGGAATGAGCAATCTATTCAATGAAATAATACGAGAAAACTTCCCAGACTTGAAGAATGAGACAGAACCCCAAATCCTAGAAGCCTACAGGACGCCGAATGTGCAAAATCATAAGAGACCCACACCTAGACACATTATAATGAAGATGCCCAACATACAGAATAAGGAGAGAATTTTAAAAGCTACAAGAGAAAGGAAGCAGATCACATTTAGGGGTAAGCCAATCAGGATAACAGCTGATCTTTCAACACAGACTCTGAAAGCTAGAAGATCCTGGAATAACATATTTCAAACACTGAAAGAAAATGGGTTCCAACCAAGAATTGTGTTTCCAGCAAAATTAAGCTTCAGGATGGAAGATGAAATTAAAACCTTCCACGATAAACAAAAGTTAAAAGAATTTGCAGCTAGAAAACCATCTCTTCAAAACATCCTTGGCAAAACATTACAGGAAGAGGAAATGGAAAATAACAATGAAAACCAACAGTGGGAGGTAGGACACTAAAGGGGGGAAAATAATCAAAGAGGAAAACAAACCATGTTTAGTAACATAAATAAACAAATATGGCTGGAAGAACAACCCATATCTCAATAATAACCCTAAATGTTAATGGCTTAAACTCACCAATCAAGAGACACAGGCTAGTAGAATGGATCACAAAACAAGACCCAACAATATGCTGCCTACAGGAGACGCATTTGATGGGAAAAGACATACATAGGCTGAAGGTGAAAGGTTGGGAAAAATCATATCACTCATATGGACTTCGGAAACAAGCAGGAGTATCCATACTCATATCAAATAAAATGGATTTCAAGCCCAAGTTAATCAAAAGGGATAAAGAGGGACACTACATACTGCTCAAGGGAACCATACACCAACAAGACATAACAATCATTAATATATATGCCCCAAACAATGGTGCAGCTATGTTCATCAAACAAACTCTTCTCAAGTTCAAGAGTCTAATAGACCACCATACAATAATCATGGGAGACTTCAACACACCTCTATCACCACTGGACAGATCTTCCAAACAAAAGTTGAATAAGGAAACTATAGAACTCAATAACACAATTAATAACCTAGACTTAATTGACATATATAGAATATACCACCCAACATCAAGCAGTTACACTTTTTTCTCAGCAGCACATGGATCCTTCTCAAAAATAGATCATATATTATGTCACAGGGAAACTCTTAGACAATATAAAGGAGTAGAGATAATACCATGCATCCTATCTGATCATAATGGAATGGAACTGAAAATCAACGATAAAAGAAGGAAGGGAAAAGAATACATCACTTGGAGAATGAACAATAGGTTACTGAATGATCAATGGGTTATAGAAGACATCAAGGAAGAAATGAAAAAATTCTTAGAGATTAATGAAAACACAGACACAACATATCGGAATCTATGGGACACATTGAAAGCAGTTCTAAGAGGAAAATTCATTGCTTGGAGTTCATTCCTTAAAAAAAGAAAAAACCAACAAATAAATGATCTCATACTTCATCTCAAAATCCTTGAAAAAGAAGAGCAAAACAACAGCAAAAGAAGTAGAAGGCAAGAAATAATTAAAATCAGAGCTGAAATTAATGAAATCGAAACAAAAGAAACAATTGAAAAAATTGACAAAACTAAAAGTTGGTTCTTTGAAAAAATAAACAAAATCGACAGACCCTTAGCCATGCTAGCGAAGAGAAGAAGAGAGAGAACTCAAATTACTAACATACGGGATGAAAGAGGCAATATCACAACAGACACTTCAGAAATACAGAAGATAATCAAAAATTATTTTGAATCCTTATACTCCAATAAATTAGAAGATAGTGAAGGCATAGATAAATTTCTTAAGTCATATGATCTGCCCAGATTGAGTCAGGAGGATATAGACAACCTAAACAGACCAATATCAATTGAGGAAATAGAAGAAACCATCAAAAGACTACCAACTAAGAAAAGCCCAGGACCGGATGGGTATACAGCAGAGTTTTACAAAACCTTTAAAGAGGAACTAATACCAATACTTTTCAAGCTACTTCGGGAAATAGAAAAAGAGGGAGAACTTCCAAATTCATTCTACAAGGCCAACATCACCCTGATACCTAAACCAGACAAAGACACTTCAAAGAAAGAAAACTACAGACCAATATCTCTAATGAACCTAGATGCAAAAATCCTCAATAAAATTCTGGCCACTCGGATACAAAAACTTATCAAAAAAATTGTGCACCATGATCAAGTAGGATTCATCCCTGGGGATGCAAGGCTGGTTCAATATACGGAAATCAATAAATGTTATTCACCACATCAATAGACTTAAAAATAAGAATCATATGATCATCTCGATAGATGCGGAAAAAGCATTCGACAAAGTACAGCATCCCTTTATGTTCAAAACTCTAGAAAAACTAGGGATAACAGGAACATACCTCAATATTGTAAAAGCAATCTATGCTAAGCCTCAGGCTAGCATCATTCTGAATGGAGAAAAATTGAAGGCATTCCCTCTAAAATCTGGAACAAGACAGGGATGCCCTCTCTCACCACTTCTGTTCAACATAGTTCTCGAAACACTGGCCAGAGCAATTAGACAGACGAAAGAAATTAAAGGCATCAAAATAGGAAAAGAAGAACTTAAATTATCACTATTTGCAGATGACATGATTCTATACCTAGCAGACCCAAAAGGGTCTACAAAGAAACTATTAGAGCTAATAAATGAATTCAGCAAAGTGGCAGGATATAAAATCAACACGCATAAATCAAAGGCATTCCTGTATATCAGCGACAAATCCTCTGAAGTGGAAATGAGGACAACCACTCCATTCACAATATCTTCAAAAAAAATAAAATACTTGGGAATCAACCTAACAAAAGAGGTGAAAGACTTATACAATGAAAACTACAGAACCCTAAAGAGAGAAATAGAAGAAGATCTTAGAAGATGGAAAAATATACCCTGTTCATGGATAGGCAGAACTAACATCATCAAAATGGCGATATTACCAAAAGTTCTCTATAGGTTTAA